TATATATATATATATATATATATATATATTATAGAGTATACTACTCCGTCCATTTCAAGAATGACACATTTTAAAATACTCATCTTATCCCTAATAAAATAAATTAGGGGTCACACAAACCTGTATGATTTATTTTAGATCACACGTTTCAAATTTTTTCATTTCTTTTATAAATTTCGGGCAAAATTTAACCTAATTCATATAAATTGAAATGCGGGAATACAATATCACTACCTATCTTATCGTCTTTTACTTAAATTGGAAAAATATAAATTTATAATTACAAATCTTTAAAAATAAAATTAGAATGAAATTAGGCGCTTCTTCGTAGAACCTTCTTCTTCCTCCCTGTCGCCGGCCTGTTAACGCTTCTCGGACGGATTTTTCTATATATTTATCTCTCTACTATTATACACTACACACACTATCTCTATACATATTTTTCTCCTAATTTATGTAATCTACTCAGCTTTGCTGTTCAAATCAGTACACGATTCGATTCGCCGACCGATTGTTTTATCTGGTACAATTAACTGCAATTTTCCTTCTGTATGTACTTTTTCTTGGTTTCTTTCCACATTTTGTGAGAAATTTGATCTGGGTTTCTTATATTTTTTTTTTTTTTTTTTTGCTCAATTAGTCCCCCCCATATGTGTCTGAGCATCTTACATTTGATTCATTGAGGTAATGTTAGTGAAATTATCAACTAATTTAAGTTATGGGTTTACTGAAATTTAACCCAAGTTATGATTTTTTTTCAGCTGTATACAGTTGGCTCTTTTTTTGAAGTGTTGAGATGGGATCTGTAGGGGATAAGTTAGACATTGAATCTGATGAGGAGATCCCATTTAGTTCATCTGATGCTACAAATAAGACAGAGAGTTTGCATTTTGAGTCAGCTCATATGGCGTCGCCTAGAAGTTTTTACTCGTCGAGAGTCTTGAGGAAGATGCATCAGATCAGCTATTTTAGGAGTATATACATTGTGATACTTAAAGCAAAGATCAATGTTTTGCTTCCTTTTGGACCATTGGCGATACTGCTACACTATCTTACGAAAAAACATGTATAAAGTCTCAAGCTTTTGCTATTTACCTCAATTGAACTTATAAAGTTTCAACCTTTTGCTATTTACCTTAATTGAACTTATAAAGTCTCAAGCTTTTGCTATTTACCTCAATTGAACTTGCCTCTTTTTTGTTTTCTTACTTTATTTATTGTGCTTTTCTTTGGGTTCATCTTGATATTTCAGGAGTGGGTGTTTTTCTTCAGTTTGGTGGGCATTACACCCTTAGCTGAGCGTTTGGGTTATGCGACTGAGTATGCTTATGCTCTTCAAGTTATTCAGTTCTCCTCTGCTACTATGTTATATTACATGCTCATTGACTTCTTTGATTGTCATGACACAGGCAGCTTGCATTCTATACAGGGCCTACAGGTAGCTATTATCTTTTGGTAGTTTTGCCATTTTCTTGATCTTTGTTTCTATTATTGAGGAATTTTTCACCATTGGGATTACTTATGGAGAGTATTAAGTTGAGGCACCCTAGAGTATGGCATTGTGGTCAATAAATTGGGTTGAGAACCATGAGGTCCGAGGTTCAAATCCTTGCAGCGACAAAACACTAGATGGATTCTTTCCATCTTACAAACTTTGGTGAACAGAGTTACTCCATACCAGTGTTGTTGGGAGGTAGTAGGTACCCATGAAATTAGTTGATGTGTAAGCAAGTTGTCTGGACACCATGATTATAAAAAAAGAAGAAGAATTAAGTTTTGCTTGCTTAATCTTAGTGTTTAAGTTGAATGTGAATTCAGTCATAGAATAATGTGAAAATGTGAGTTACGTTTTGTTCTTACAGTGAAATTGAGTCATCAGGAAATTGAAACCCCTTGAAGTAATTTTTTGGATATTATCCTCCTTGACTTGAGTCACTAGATAGGATTTTCTTGTTCCCTATTTAAATGGTTTTATGGTTTTTCTGTACTTCTGTTGTTCTCATTTCCCTTTGCTGGAAGTATTTTAACATTTGCATTTACTCAAAGAGCTACTTTTCTTGTTGATATCTTGTGTGAGACATAATTCCCCCTCCCCCCACTACACTTCTTTTGATTATCAGAATGACTTTTCCTTATTTTTGATGTATAGTTGGGGGCCTTCTAAATGCTACATTTGGCAATGCGACTGAAATGATAATCTCATTATATGCATTGAATAATGGGATGATGACGGTTGTTAAACAATCCTTGCTGGGTTCCATTTTATCAAATATGCTCTTGGTGCTTGGATGTGCCTTCTTCTGTGGTGGGATTGTTCATCACCAGAAAGTCCAGGTTTTCAGTAAGGTCATTATCTTCTGATCAATCATGTCCTCACGAAATGTGCTATGAAGTTAGCACTTTTGTCTTTTGAGAATGTTGATGCTTCAGTGGAATTTCGTATTATCTCAGCACCAATGTGCTCTCTCTAATGTTATATGCTAATGCTAATGAAAATCTTTAAATTGCAGGCAACTGCCCTCGTGAACTCAGGATTGTTATTGATGGCAGTCATGGGCTTATTATTTCCCGCTGTACTTCATTTCACCCACACAGAAGTGCATTTTGGGAAGTCAGAGCTGGCTCTTTCAAGATTTAGCAGTTGCATAATGCTGGTGGCATATGCAAGTTACCTATTTTTTCAGCTCAAGAGTCAACCAAATCTATATAGATCAATTGATGAGGTAAATTGCTGAAAATCTTGGAATAGGTTGATAGCTTATTTCCTCTATTATTCAGCTTGTATTTCTCCGAGGTTGTCTGCAGCAATAGTCATTGACACTGTATGTCCTATCTAGTAATCAGATGCCTGTTATGAAAGATATAGGTTTGCAGCAGATTTCAGTTTTTCCAGATAAACTTGTACCATGATATGTGATTCTCATTCCAACTTATGTTACTGCATGATGTATTAGTTTGTTTCTAATTATTCCTGATATCTGAACAGGATAGAGAGAATAATGCTGAAAATTCTGATGAAGAAGAGGCTCCTGAGATAACACAATGGGAAGCTATAGGGTGGCTTGCTATTTTGACAGTATGGATATCTGTGCTATCTGGGTATCTTGTTGATGCCATAGAGGTAACCTTTCCTTTCCTTTTGTTTTATTAAATTTTTTGGCCCATGCCCTTCTTAACCGATGTATTGGAGAGGCTAGCATTTTCTTGAAGTTGAATGCTAATATCCGTGTGCTAATCTTTCTCCTTTTTCGGTAATTAATTATCAAAAGCTACATAAATTTCGTTTAAGTTCTTTTGACTTCGATTTTTTTGTATGTTCTTCATCCTAATTTGTTTGTGTTGCTAATACGATTTCAGGGAGCATCCGACTCGATGAACTTGCCTGTGTCCTTTATTAGTGTCATCTTGCTTCCAATTGTAGGAAATGCTGCAGAACATGCAAGTGCAATCATGTTTGCAATGAAAGATAAGCTTGTGAGTTCCTGAAAAACCATATTCACTGTCTTATTTGCCCAGAATAGGTTACTCAAGGAGTACTGATTGCAGGACATTACACTTGGAGTTGCGATTGGGTCCTCTACTCAGATATCAATGTTTGTGGTAAGGTCTTATAATTTGATGCATTAATCATCTGAACTAGCTTATAGTAATTAGCTGATAACAAAGAAAATTAGTTCTTATTTTTTATTTAAATTCATACAGGCCGTCCTAAGAACATACTGGATTTTTGTTTGTTTAATTTGTCCTTTTTGGTTGGTTTGTATTGGTGTAGTTAATTTGTAATTATCCAAAATTTATAATGTAGCTTGGCGGTCCATTTAACCATAAAAATAAATAAATAGAGCTTGGTGTTTTATGTGGAAGGAAAGAAATGGGAGCTGTTTGAAGACGAAGAAAGCTCTATTCAAAATATCAAGAATTTTATTTTATTTTTGGTGTAAGCAGAATTGTTATAGTGAGCCATGGAATTGATAGATCTGATAGGTTCCCTCTAAGGAGAGAAGAGACATACGTGTGACATTAATCTGTAAATACTTTCGCTTGCACCTTCTGGGTGCTATTTAAGTATTTATTAAAAGATTATGATAGAGCTTATAAATCAAGTTGCTTATTCGTAGATCTCATGCTTTTGATGATGCAGATTCCATTTTGTGTTGTTGTTGGTTGGTTCATGGGAAAACCAATGGACTTGAACTTCCAATTGTTTGAGACTGCTACACTCTTTATCACAGTGCTAGTCGTGGCATTTATGCTGCAGGTTCATCTTCTAACTTACATCCTTTTGGCACATCTCCTCCCCCCCCCCCCCTCCCCCCCCACCACACCAGCCCTCCCCCCCCCCCCCCCCCCCCTCCCTGCAAATCAGACAATTGAATATAATAGATGATGTTGTTCTGTCTACTCCCTACCCTAGACTACTCAGCCACGAAAGGCTTGCTACTAACTATAATTGTTGCTTTACACAATGCAGGAAGGAACATCAAACTATTTTAAGGGGTTGATGCTTATCCTATGCTATCTCATTGTTGCAGCAAGTTTCTTTGTACATGTTGATCCATCCAAAGGTTAGTAGGATTCTTTCCCTCTATAGTCTGAGTATTTGTTTTTAATTTTAAATAAGACAGTAATTTTGTTTAAGTACACTAAGTTGGTGGTAATTTGCAGAAACTGAAGTATATTAGACAATAAACCAATGTTCAAAAAATTAAATTCTGCTAACTACATAATGCAATATGATGTTTTGCACCAAACATTCGATCTCCATAATTTCGATCTCTTCATGGTCTCTGAGTCCTTTCTCGTCTGAATCTGCTCTCCAAGTGCTCTCTTGCCACCATTGAACACAACCCTATTGAACAAAAGTTTCACCCACTAACTGTAATATGTACGTAACCACCTCCAAATGGCCTCTATGTCTTTATCTTCTCCCTCTTGAACTCAGTTAGTATCAACTTCAAAGATTAGTTCACAAATTTTGCTCCATTCTTCCTACTGTGACTATTCCTTATGTCTCCCTTTATAGTTTATGGAAGATGTCAGTCTCAGCAATTCCAATTTATTCCATTTTTCTAATTTCTTAATCAATATCAATAGTTTTATTCTGTTATCTATCTCTCCTCTCCTTCCAATAATTTAGTTAGTGACCAGCACTGAAATACCTAAAATATTTAACAGATTTGTAAGCCTGTGATGAGCACATACAGACCTGTTCATCACTGTTTGTTCCATGCCATAGCCTATCATTAATCTTCATGTCTTTAGTTTGCTATTACATTTTTTGAATGCTTTGAGAAGCTTCATACTTAATTATCATCATCATTTTGATGCAAAGGAGACAGCCTGACTCTAAGGGGAAGCAAATGAAGCAGGTGCTTTAGTGCCCCAAATTTGGGGGTGGGGGGGGGGGGGCCTTTTTTTTTAAATTTTGGTTT